TCAACATCGTTTGTGAGTGGGAATCCTCACATCCTCTAGTCTTGTCTTGCAATCCGAGCTACACTATGGACTCACCGATTACAGCGATCATGAGGATGCCTGGACTGTCCAAGCAGCCATCCATTAAAGCGAAAGGGTCGGATATGGTAGTGGCTTTGAGTTGAAAGCGACTCTTCACTCTCCAAGCTACTCACTTCGCTTTGGAAAAGAACTACACAAGTTCCTTGGGCGTATAGCACCTGACCTCTCTCATTCGTACCTGTTATTATCCAGACTGAGACAGGAACAATCGTTTTTCTTTCTCTACGCGAGCACTTCTCCGTTCATCCCTGTTCACTTCCTCTTCCTCTGCCTTATTAGGGCGGTACGTCCTCTTTTCTGCAACCAGAAATCTAAATTTGAGCATTCTAACAAAATAATTTCATAAAAGTGATGTGAGACCGCTAAAATTCAATTAAATTTTTACATCATCCAGACTGAGACAGGAACAATCGTTTTTCTTTCTCTACGAGAGCAATATCTCATCTTCATTCACGTCCTCTTCCTCTGCCTTATTAGGGCGGTACGTCCCTTTCCCACAATCAGAAATAAAATTCCGAGCACTCTAACAAAATAATTTCCTAAAAGTGATGTGAGACCGCTAAAATTCAATTAATTTTCTACATCGTTTCTGAGCAATCCATGAGAAACTGGTTATGCCCCTTCTTTGGGAATTTTCTATATGCCTCTTTTACCGAATTCCTCAATTTCCTCAAATTTCTGATTCACTCACACTGTCGTTTTCAGTTGGCGACGTTCCGAGGTGGCGATTCGTTCGTATTGTTAACCGACGAAGATATGCAGAAATTGCACGAGCTCGCAGCAAAGGTATGGAACTTTCTAGCTTTTTTCCTATCGCTTTCACTCCATGTATTCGAAAAAAGCATTGACGGATCTCTGCTTACGGTTATGAAAAATTTTCTGAGCCAAATTTCAAGAAAACTCCTCCTTAAACACTGCTTTTTCGACAAGGCCGTAAACTGTTTTTGGAGAACAAAATGCATAGTATACTGAAGTACTGCCACTATTGGATTTTTGCGATGTTCTGCCCTTCCAGTAGGGATTCAATCAAAGCGTACAGTTGACAAGTCCCCCTTGGATTTTGTAAACAGTACACTACATTAGATAGTCAAAACTTGCGGCAACGAAAACAGCGTCAAGTTCGTTTTCTTTCCGCCAAAAACGATAGAAACACAAAAATTCCGGCAACGATTGATCCCATTCCGGGATGCGTCCCGCATTCGACTTCCATTCAGAATCGTTGAACGCGTGTGCCAGCGCATGATTAATGGATTTCGTTGAATTCGTGCCGATAATGATATTTCCCTTTGAGTTGGTTTTAATAATGTAGTTCTTTGTAGGGCATGCTAATAGAAACATAAACGATTTTTGGCGGCCCTCAGTTGTTTTCCGAAAGCAGTTCCACCTAGAAAATTGAAGAAATAATTAAATTTATTCCTGTCAACTCTCTGGATTCTATAGTGGCCACTTCTACCATACAGGGTCAATAATTGTTGAATAGATAATTATGCCTTGTGTGTGTCTGGAGCACTACATCGATCATTTACTGCAGCCACTTGAAGGAAACCGTCGCGGTCACAGCAATCCATTTTTTAAAAATCCATATCACGAAGCGAGTCCCATAAAAACTTCGCTTACAGCTGAAGGAATTCTTCTTCATTACTTTCTTGAACTACTTTCGATCCGTTTCGGCGGCAAATTCCTTTGCGAAAACAGCGGTTAGGTGGAGCGCTGAAGTGATTTTGCATTCTGCAGACAAGAAATTCCTGAGTGTCAAAGTTTGACTGCCGCTTAACTTGGGACAAAAAAAATTAGAAAATAGGTCCTAATGTGGCCTAAAAGTGGATAAAACCGAACAACGGTTCACAATGTGTTCAGGGTCAAGAGTGGGGGCGTGGTAATCAGCTAGGGGCGGAACACCCTTGAGGAGGGTCACCTTGACAGCGAAAAATTTAATCTTATTCTAAGGGAAGCCTGGGGCGTTTGTAGACGCTTTCAGAGTCATTATTGTTTATGGGCTGTTTGTGAATGGAGATGAGAGTTAATGCGAAAAAATTTCTTTGCTCTGTATTACTTATTATTTTTCAACTTAATCCATTTTTAATATTTTATTTTTTATCTCAATATCTAGATATCTCATCCTGAAACTATTCAATGAGCTCATTTTTAACAACTCCACTTTGAGATTGCCTGAAATTGAAAAGTAGTTGACTGGACGCTTCCAAGAAGAAATTTTTTAAAGGGGCGGCTTATTTTCCTTTTAAGGCGGCGCTTTCATGGGAATTTTTTACATTGTTGCAGCTGCTACAGAAAGTAATTAGAAGTGATTACTTCAAAAATAGTGGGAAGACAATGAATATGACTGGCAGTTTCATAAGTATGCGTGGATTTGAAAGAACCTGTGATTAATCCAAAAAAGGCCTTCTCATTGTAGTGTTGGGTTTGGTTAATTGCAGTGCTTATAGAATAACGACTGCCGATTGTTTAAAATCGTTCCGTGTTGTAATAACGAGTGCTAAACCAGTTTTGAAAGGAAAAAATTCGTCATAATGATAATTCTAGAAAGTTTCACGAAGTAACCGTTCTATACTTTACAGTTTTATGACCCCACAGATTGGATCGTACTTTGACAAATCTTGTTTTTCGGTAAAAATTTTCCCTATTGTTCCCAAACTTCAAAAAAAAAACACGAGGGCAAGAGGTTTGTGTCAAAAATATTTACAAAGCAGCAAAATATAAAAACTTTAAGTGAGCAATTTTTTCTGGAAAAACTTCTACTTTATACGAACTTTGAAAGAACAGAATTTCATCAAAAAAATTCCATCTGAAATTGAATAAAAACAGCAGGAGTTGCAAATTCTCAAGAAGGATGAGATGGATCTTTCAAGGTGAATCCTCCCACAATATTCAGATTTGATCTGGAAATTTTATTCAATTCTTTTTGAATTGGGAAAAACGGCCCAAATACGAAACTTGTTCTAGGAAGGAGGTTCTTTTTTTCGATAAGAGTTTTGCTTTCTCTATCCTATTTCAAAAAATAAAGAAATAAAAACGTTGCGGTAGGGCTTCCTATCTGGAAGTGTAAGTCAGTTCCTGCTTACAATGGTATAAATAGTATAAATTAAATATGTGTGAATTAAACTTCTCTTTTTATCGATAATCCGAAATAAAGAGAAGCAGAAGGCCTGATACTTCCATTTCAAAATTTCTGATAGATTTATAAAGAATTTTCCTTAATAAAGAGTATTCCATTATTTCAGGGTACGGAAGGAGACGCTGACAATACGTTGGCACTCCAATTCCTCCTCAGCAATTACAAGGATGTTGTCTCAAATCCAGTACAACGGGCAGAATCGTGGCTGGTACGTTTCTAATCATTTATCGAATATTTTTATTGATATACAAGAGTACATTGGACCCGTGCCAAATATTAGCTTCCCCACAAGCCATCTCCCATGTGATCATCTCATATTTGAACGAAAAAATGAGTGTGACTAACCAAGGACTTTCGGTTCCCAAACAGCCATGGGAATTGATCATTACGATTTCCTGTTTGGTGGGCGATGGGAGCACATTTTAAAAGGAGTGTGATTTATTTCAAATCAAAGGCAAGCGCAAATGCAAAACCTATCGGCGGCAGGCAACTGCCACCATCTGAACATTTCTTCATGCTGGACCGGGCTGCCTTCATTTTAATTGATGATTATTATTCCATACATATTATTACCACTAATAACCGCTATTGTAGGCAGAATCGACCACAACCACACTGATCCCTGCAAGTGTTACCCTTTCTGAAGTGTTCCCATGTGAAAAATCAGATATCGAGCAGTTTTTAATGTTCTGCCTAGGATTCTCTCCGTATCTGATCCTATCGCTTCCGCTTTATAGGTCCGCTCTTTGGAAGAGTTTGTGGGCGAAGGTGGAATAGGGAGAGACTGACGTAGATTTGTAAAAAAAATCGTGAAAATTTGTTTGCAACGTAAGAGCCGGTCCACGTGGGATACCCTTGCCGAACCGGCTTGCCCTACTGGTGCGCCCAGGTAGGACAGCCATTTCTCACAGACCGGAAAACTGAATTGGTTCATTTTAAAACGCCGAAAAAGTCATTCCATATGGCTGGTTTTCGTGATTCATTACTTCTTCTTTTATTTTTTGTAATATTTATCGAGTCTTCTGATGTTGAGCGATATGGGTACTGTATTTCTGGAAGGCTTACGGTATCCAAGGGTCCAACAGATTATCCCACACGCCAATCTGAGCACCGGCACGTTTTTTTTTGTTATAAAGATTCTTGTCCAAAAAAGTTTTGAAACAGTCTCCCTCTCCCAAGGTTAGCTTTTTGTATTGTGCCGTAGAAGTCGTGGAAAGGAAAAACTCCAAGGAATTCCCCACGTCAGAATAGAAACTATAAATGGAGGTGATTTCGATTTCTATCAGTCCAGAAACTTAGGGACTCTTCTCGCAAGTAGAAATTCGATTTCAAATTAGTGGTCCCTACTTCCGTCATTAGAAAAGTTAGTAGGAGCCATCATTGGCGACGAAAAAAAGGAAAAGAATGAGAGCTAGGATAGTAGCCCCTTCCTTTTTGTGTTATTGCATCTCAATTACAAATCTTTTTACTTGAAAATTGTCATAAGATGGATAGCAGGCACAATCTCTGACAGTATTCTAGCATTTTACTAAGTCTTTTACTCAAATTCTGAAAAAAATCCTGTCTCTAGAGGGGGATCCTATTGCATCCCCATACCGGCACTGTGGAACCGGTACAGTGCTTAAAAGATTTGTTCGTAAATTTATTCGAAAATTCTCAAAATTTCTTACTGAGCTCTGCAATCTATGTTTCAGTGAATATTAGTTTGAAAAATTCCCAAATTTTCACAAGATTCATCTCATTAATGCCTGGAAACATTCTGAGGAGATAATCGCTTTCTGATTCATGTAGCAGTGTTGAGCGAGTTTGGTAACAATCCAGATTACTAACTAACCGACTCCACCGGATGTTCATAAGGTCTACAAAGCGTACGGTGCTTTTTATTGAAATGTTTTCATGAACGAAAAAGAACTTCAAAAATCTGTCTTTTTCTTCTTTTCAGCCTTGTTATGACTTTTGGAGTTCCGATTTTTGAAATTTTCTTCTAAATTAATATGAATCAATTTCCGTTTAACACATGGACGTTTCCGAATTTTGCCCCCTCCCCCATCTAAACCCTTCAATAAAGAGGCTTTTTCAATTCGTTGAACAGGATTCCACCATTTAATTTACTCGTGGCACCATCATTCACCCGAGGGGGAGCGCCCATGGAAGAGTTCCAGAGGTTTCCCCTTGACAACCCTTTCTGTTCCCGAATATGAACGGAAAATAATCGTTAAGCGAAAAAGTGCTGAGGCATAGCGAAATTTGCTAATTCGCCGTCAAATTTGGGGTTTCTCTTTGCTCCGCTGCAAATTTCATTACCGCTAATGTTTCTGTAACAGTAGCGGTTCCACTTAATTTTTCACAACACCCAGATGGGCCCTATCTTACTGCTTATCAGCCTCATTGTCAGATCGCATCTCAACAAGCGATCTTTCCGTTGGTCGGCGAAATTTTTCACGGCTTTTTAGTATCGCCGTTTCATGGTAGGTACTGATCGTCTGGTGAGATGCGATCTTGGCCGGCTTGACCGACCTTGTCGCATGTCAAACGTCACCAGCCATCGCCAACTAAACGATGTTCCTAATTTATGACCGCTTTAGACCGCAAGGTTAGCCGAAAATCTCATTTAGAGGGACGTTTCGAAAAAAATCACATCGATCAATACCGTACCCAGCTCGAAGGGTTCCATTTTGCCGAGGAATTACGAGGGAACTGAATTTTCCTTGATTATTGTCATTTAAATGAAGACACTGCTATGTCTAAAGCACAACTGCAGAAAACTGAGCTTACGACTCGTCCCTTCATTCCTACCTGTAGAATACCCTAATAGAGATGTTCTCTTGCCGCGTACTCTGTAAGGCACTCGTTTACCTCTGTCCCTCGTTACTGATGAAGTCTCAATTCTTAGGTAGACTTCAGTTTCGGTGAGATTGATGACTGTATACTTCACCCAAGACAACGTATTTCTTCCCAACAAACCCGAGATTCACCTATTAGCTGCGATTATTTCTTTATTTGACTCCTCTATAGATAGGAATGCTTTACATATCGTTTCGTACTTATGGCACTTTTTGAGTAGCCAGTAGTGCTTAAAATTGCGATAATCTTGTTGAATGTCTGGTCATTTAAGGAAAAAAAGCCAAGTGAATTTGAAGCAACAAAATGGGAATCAAAAGATCTTCCTTTGGCAAAGTATTGGTCGACATAGGTTTCCAGAAAAATTAAACTTCATTGTGAAATAGGTCCTTAGACTTGGAGTGGAACGCTCCATGGTGGTTATACGTAACTGTTCTATAGATTGCGCCATGCACTCGCTCAAACTTCGCGTGACGAGCAGGAATTCTAGCGCCTACCCCCTTACTCTGGTTTTTTTTNTTTTTTTTCGTTCTCCACAAGCCCATCCTTAATTACTCGACTCCAGAAGACCGGAAAGCATAGCTGGACGGAAAACGGAATGGTGACGCAACTTACCGGTTCACTACCTGATCGTCACCCTATATCGTTTCTTTCCACCTTGGTTCTTGAGAATCTAGTAAGCCCAATTCGATACTGGGAGGTGATCGGAAGGTTTTGGGTCAGATGGTGAAATCTTAGTTTCAGTTTAGTGTTTCAGTTGCTATTTTGTTCCATTCCTCCTTGGTACTCGAGAATTTATTCGGTCCATTTTACAACTGGGATGTGTCTAGGAGATTTTTGGGTCGAATGAGTAAAAGTCTGAGTTCTTACTTACGTAGTTTAGCGTTTCAGTTGCTAATCTTCTGTACTGTTTACAGACTGTATATCTGTCATTTTCAGCCAATTATCGGCCTGATCGCTGCGGTCCTTATTGTACTTTGCATCACCGGTGTACTGTTGTCGATGTTCTTGGCAAGATTCTGCTGCTGTTGCGCTAAACGAAACAAGGACGTCTACCATGTGAACACATTACCGTCCTACAAGACTGTAGAGCCATTATATGTGATTACACCTCCTGGACATCCAGGGTAAGTCGCATTATCTGCTAGAATCACATACGCATTCATTCATTCGGGTCCCTTATTTGTTCTAACCCTTCATGGTAGAATCAGATAAGATAAAAGCACTTACTTGTACATCAGCTGATCACCGCATTTCATTGTGTAGACCACATACGCGTTAACAACGCTGCAACCAATGAGGGTGGAAGTCGAACGCGGAGCGTATTCAAGAAGGGATCATTAGCGTTCAAGCATTTCATCTTTATGCCTCATTTTTCACTGTGTGTAATTCACATAATTGGAGCAGAGCATGGGGTGAAAATGAGGAAGAGCCATGGGCTTGACGAAATGTCAGACCTACTGGGTAACACGACACGATTTTCTGTGCGGCCGATTTCCCACGCTTGCATCTGTCACCCAATTCCCTCCGCCGATCACATGGATTGCACGCCGTCGTCACTGAATTGGGAGGTTGACCCGAGAAGAACTTTGGGTCCAAATGGGTGCAGAACAAAATCGTGGTATATAAAGGAAGTCTATTTGCCACTGCATAGCATTTGTTCGGGTAATGTAAATAGCAGGACGCGTCTGGTAGAAGGAAATAGAATGTGGCTATTTCATGACGGTATGTCGCGTTTCCTTGTTGGATTCCGCGGAGGAAGAGCCTGTATTGGGCCATGTGACTACGAAACTCCTACGAATTACTGATTCTAGTCCGCTCCGAATATGCTTTGAAGCCCTTCTGCAAACTGAGTTGATGTCGAGTGTGTGGGCGAAGTCGCTTTGGGATTGACCGAAGACGAAACCTTCAGCATCTTCTTCCTCTACCAGCGTTAACCCCGTGCACCCAGGGACCGCTGATCCTGTCAGTCGTCTCCACTTTCTTCTATCTAGAGCGTCTTTCGCCGTTACTTCAGCTTCGATGAGGTCCTTCTTGATCACGCCCCGCCACCTCTTCCTTGGGGCTCCTCGTGGTTGCTTTCCTTGAGCCTTGAACTCCATTGCCTCCCTTATACCTCAGAGCCGAAAGCTTCATCACTACCCTATATATTAGCTTTTCGATCCTCCAAAGAGAATTACTTTTCAGACGTTCTCCTCTGGGAGATCAAATTTATTCAACACCGTATTCTGGTAGCCCATTACCGTATCCACCACCGCCTGGTGCTAGCGTCCCCGTGACTCCGTCGTCCACCTTCAGACATGCGGTAAACCATGAAACGCCAACATTCAAGAAACCACGTGTGGTTGGTTTTGTAGAAATACTGTACTCGTTTTTCTTAGAACCTTTTCCTAGTTGAAAAATTTACAGGTTCGTGACAGTGATCCCGGCTCTATTCCACGTGCACCTGGATCAGAATATTCGGCACCCGGAGGAGTCTATGCACCCAGTGAGCTCACGCCACCCATGATTCTGCCACCTACAGAGCTCTACGGGACAAGTAAGTCATCATTCGGGTTTTCAGTAGCCTGTTGTGAGCCTTCGTAGAGCTTGATCTAGTTAGAAGAATGACCTTGTTGAGAATATTGATTACTATTGATCGAGTCATACTATACCGTAATCATTTGCAGTTCCTCGTGCTACACTGATTCCTCGCAACGGACAACCGCCGTCACCTCAGGACCCGAAAGATCTGCCATTCCTCGATCCAAACAGGAAACAAGAAACCCAAACAAGAGAGGAATTGATCTATTGATTGACTTGGCCCCCCTATATCGATCTGTGTGTCGATAGCCAGTCGGGTCGAACGATTGTGCCTCGATCTTTCCGCTACGTCACACCTCTCGTAACCTCACTCGCTACATACTCTACCACCTCATTTCTTGAAGTGTGCCACCCTTCCTGTAGAACGTTGAAGGGTTTGAGGGCGTTACGGCTAGAAGCATATGTTGCGATCGTGAGTTACTGTTACCGTTCTGATGAGTTCTGCTCAATGTTCCTTACTGCTTAGAATCATCTGCTCATTTCACTTGTGGAGAACTCGAACTATTCTCTCTGGCTCCTTTCTATATCTGTATCTACATCTTCAGAGCGACGTCTTCCGTATCTTATGCCGGGTTTCAAGGGAATGTACTTTCCGCAAGCCATGTGTCTATACGTAGTATTAGGTGAATCCCATAAGAAATCACCGAAAAACTTTTCAAAGAATCCCCTGTGTGCTGAATGGTCGGTGCCCGATGATACTCATTTTCTATTGAAATAAATACTTTACTTATTTGAAATCACAACTCTATACGTTGAAAAACATTTACTACTGGCATGTTAGGGCAACCTATCAGGACAGAAAGTGTGGAAAGAACAACACTGGAACTTTGAATTCGAGAGGGAGATCAATTTGAAGCAGCAGCCATTCTGCGAGCTCCACGTTCGGGCTTCCATATACATCGACATGGTTGTAACTTGATGTTGTTTTGCTTTGAACTCTCACGAAGTTGTTATTAAAAGTTTATTAGCTAACGTTTCGGCGATATCGCCTTCCTCAGAACCTGAAATGGATCAACACAAGTTGTGGATACTAGATCAAAGGTCTCTTAAACTCGGGCAGGGGCGGTGTAGTGTCAAGTGGCGCACTATATCACACGCACGGTCAAGGGTTCGAATCCCAAATCGATGTCCGTTTAGGTTAACCAAGCCTTCTATCCCTCCGGAGTCGGCGAATTGGTACCAGACTGGGAGGATAAAAGCACTGACTTGTACATCGGCTGGCCACAGCAAGTCATTGTATAGGCCACATACGCACTCATTATGCCACTACGATTCTGAATGGGAGTCGAGTGCGGGGGGCGCATCCCTCAGACGGAATTGGTTAGCGCCAAAAACATTATCCTTTATCCTCTTTAACACTGCGGAAGTTTGGGACTCCCCAGGGCCACGAACCACGTAACTTGAAGAGAGGGCATTCATCGTTACTTCATGGATCCTCGAAATCATCCAGCAACCGATAGTGGGACCAGGTCAGCTGGGCTTGGTCTTAATCGGAATCCCTGTGGAAAGGCCAGTCTTATATAAGGCCTCAGCTAACTCGTAATTTTGATGTCATTTCCGTCAGGTTCATTTTTGGATTGGTGGCCTGTATCCATAATGGTTACGTAACTTTCGTACCGTGAGGAGATCTTCGATATGATATTCACAAATTGTTTTTGACCCATTTCACGCTCTGAAGAAGGCGATATCTTCGAAACGTTAGCTACTGAACTTTTAATAAGAACCTCGTGAGAGTTCAAAGCAGAACAACAACAAGTCACAACCATTCTGGGGTTCTAAAAATTCGTCGTTATTTGACTTAGCCTTCGAGACTGTTAATAGATTAGAAAAGAGCCTGCTTCTCACTATATGTACTTCTCATTTACTAACGCGTCACCTTATTGCCACTTGAAGTTGACGTTATTAATCTGAAAACGGATGCATGTGCAAGAACTGGCACAGAAAGAGGGACGAGCCGGTGCCAGACTGTCGGGAAACCTGATGAAAAGTTTCAAAAGCTAAAGTGGGACACGACCATTGTTAACTTCAAGCTTGACCGGAACTGTAGTCAGTGTATATTACTGTGCTGCAAGAAGAATAATGTCTAAAGTTTTGGGAATTTATCAATCTCGTCTGGGGATGCACCCACGCATTCGATTTCCATTCAGAATCGTAGTGGCGTATTGAATGCGTATGCGACCTATACAATGACTTGCGGTGGCCGGCCGGTGTAAAGTAAGTGCCCTTATCGTCTCAGATAAGTTTGGTACCAATTAAGCGATCCCGAAAGGATGAAAGGCATGGTTGGCTTTAGCCCCCGGTATTTGAACCCCTGACCATGCGTGCGACACTTGTCACTACACCTTCTCCGTCTCGTAAACACCACTTCAAAAAAAGTGTTTTCATGAACATCTTCATTTAATACTCAAAGAAACACAACTCTGAACAGTAATTTTTCTCAGCCTTGATCTTCATTCCATATAGCCGGATTGAGCATCTGAAAAACTTGAGTAAAGAATCTGTATAAATATTGGATATTTCTAATATTGGATATTTCTGATTATTCACAATTATCACAGATTATGTTGTAATAGACGAAGACGATAATTTGTGCATTTTCTTATAGATAAGGACATTTAGGGTGAGAATTTAGTTGAAGCGGAGGGTCGCTTCGGCGGGCTCTGCGTCTCGAACACCAAGTGTTAGAGAGCAAAGAAAGATGGACGCTTCACATTGGGAGAGGGGGACCTGTAAAGGTGCTCAAAAACGTTCCTCAGCTAAATGGTTAATAGGCCGAAGCAGGAGAGGAGTGATGAGGGGCAGGGTTCTCAATTTCTGTAAGAAGCTGACCCATTACTAATCAAAACCTAGAGGGTAGCACCGTAGAAGAGTGGGTTTCTGTAGCACAACGGCTCGCAGCAGTTGATAGCGCCTATCAAGAAAAAAATATGGACTCTGGGGAAAATTACGGTAACTCCCTTCGAGACCACTGCTTTGTCATGGGAATTCAGGTACAAGAGTCGGGTTTTCAGGATACAATCGTGCTTGGAGAGCTCAGAGGAGGTGCGAAAACGCAAACACTGGAATTCCTTCGAGCGCCATTGAGTACAGTATATCCCCTTTCCCTGACTACATTTTTGCCTTAAAAACGTTAGAGATGGTTCATCTAAATGGTCACACACGATACGCAACAAAGAGGGAAAGTCATGGAAAGGAAATAGTTATAATGAAGAAAAGAAGAGCAGAACTTGGTGCTAGGGGTGGGGAGGGAAGAAGAGAGCAAAGCCAGAATGCCTAGGTTGAAAGAGTAACGCTACGGAAAAGACGACATCGAAACAATTGGGGGGAAATAGGTCTGTATGTAAGAAAAATTACAAGTAGAGGAGGATAAAAAGAAGCATGAAGAGGATCTACAATGGAAGCAGGGTCATAGAAAGAACAGGATCGATTTCAAGAATATAATAAAAACAAAGTGACTTACAGAAACCACAGCAGAAAGAGGATGGAGGAAGTAAAGATAATGTTCTGGAAGGCTACTGATCGCTTTCTGCGTGAGATAATGCCATACCTTTATCAACCCTCTGATCAGGTGGCTTCAGGTTCCCACTTTGAGATAAGAAGAAAATATTGCTGATAATTAGACATATTGATACCACTGCGACAGAAACGAATCCCAACAGACGTGGATCATAAAAATCGTCTCTGAAATTCGTTGGAGTTTTTGTTTACATCTGAATTATACTGAACACTGCAAAGACTAGAAGCCCTGTAAACAGCAGTACACGGTCTTTTCGCTTCCCTAGGTTGCCGCAGTACTTGTCCTGAGCCTGTGGCGGTGCTAGCAATTGTTACAACATCTGTTAAAGCACTACAACACAGAAAACTGTACGAGCCGAGCGCCCTTACCGAATTTTCGGTTCTGTCACCATTACGACATGCTCGTACTCTTTGGGAAAAAGTAAAGGATGAACAGTTTTTAATGTCGACGTACGTGTATGCATTCGACCTCCCGTAGGAATTGGAATACATATGAAGGCCAATTCATGCCTCACAGATGGGGCCTAAACACGCCCTTGGAAGTAGCTTCGATTCCGAGTGAAAGTCGAACAACAAATTGAGGTGCAATGGAGAACCTCTATTTTTCCAGACATGCCCGGTATCAATCAAACGACTCAGAAAGAAAAGAAGTCTTGATCCGTTCGACTGCCATCAACCTGAGGCTTCATTTTCGGCTCATAACTATAGGCAGCGCATCAGCACCAGAAGAGAGTCCACTTCAGTAACATAGATAGCGTTTCGGAGCACTTATCTGACCAGTCAGATGAGAAACCACACGCAAAGAGATTCAAGTTTCGTCGAGCCCGAGTGAATTGAAAAATCCACTGCTAATGTCAATCCAACTGTAGCACGCTTACACTATGAAGACGTTCAGAGGGAGACAAGTCAGATTTTTAAGTCTCGTGAACGTGTGATCCGTGGGCCTCGCCCAAGGTGCCTTTTTGTTGCGTCATAGATGTATGTGACGGGTGTTTGAGGGCGCTTGAGTCTGTTTTCAGTATAGTGTATAACACATTCACGGGACTTTAAGTAGAAGTAGTTTGTAGAGGTTGTAACTTACATCACACACTGTACTTGTAAATCAAGGGGCGTGGGCATCACACTCCAACAATAATGCAAACCATTGGATATCATTAAACAACAGCATCTACATAGATATCACAGGGTATGATAACAACAAAAAATATTGTTGTTATCATAGCCAGTGAAAGCCCTGACATGAATTGTCGGGAAAGGGCTTCGGAATTCCAATATGTTCCAGTCTGATCTCCGCTGCATTTTCAAAACGAGCTTGGATTCTATTATATAAGCACTATAGAGACGTTGTATGTAACTGAAGCCATGTTCACAGTTCATAACCTTTTTGAAACCTTTTGCGCTTGGGATTCTCATTAATATGAATTACTACGTCCAACCAATAATTGAATTTGGTAGTACGGTCAATTTTCAGTGCCTTTTAAGACTTATAAATTCATGGTGAATAGAAAATGCCCAGAATAGCATTACCTGGAACCTGCTAAACGTAGCTCTGTGTTAAACTTGCAAATTTATCTCCGATGATTCTGATCGTCGCTGCTTCCTTTCTGTTCCTAGTCCGCTAGAGAGGGAAGGGATTAGTAATTGTGTAATAGCATTTACAATGGTAGCAGATTTGTCTGGGAGGATAAAAGCACT